CCATCTATCTGCCAGTTGTACAGTCAGAGCACTTGTACTTATACTGTCTGAACCCTTGCTTTTCCTTTTGGTTTCTGGTTTTGTTTTTGTTTTTTGTATTTTTTTGTACTGTGTTAGAAAAACAAGAGCCACCGGCTCCCTCTTACTTAACAAATGATCCAGGGTCGTCTTTGTACGTGTGACTAATAATTTTATTCTCCGTGCTGACAAAATGAGTTACTTCTCGGGTTTTAACCCTATGGGAATAGATATATGTCAGATTTATAAGTGGATAGAAGTTTGTACAATTAATAAATGTGAAATGATAATAAATGATAAGTTATACTTGAAAATTGGCGCTCAAATGATCTTATGCAGTTGCCAGCGCCGTAAAACCCTCTACTAAAACTAAACATACTTGAAAATAATGGCATCAGTTGAAAACCTACTAGCAACTAGGCCCCAGTGTCGATTTTCGGCTGATATCTCCGTTTGTGGATAGCAGGAAGTAACTCATTTTGTCAACACACCTCAGTACTATTCTGCGCGCTCGCGATGTAGAATAACGTGTCGTATTGTTTGTGTTCTTGTTGGTAAGGAGCGGAGTGGCCATTTTTTTTTCAACGATTGCGTCTCGTCACCTGTTTATGTCTGTGCTTGGGAAGTTAGGTTCTGGATTTTTTTGTGAAAGTGAAAGTGAGTTGGGAGAGGGGAGTAGAATTGAAGACCTGAGATTTAAAAACGTGCCCAAGTCAATTTTTGCTGAATGGAGAAAGACAAAGAAAAAAAATGAGCATAGGACTTTATTTGCTTCGGGATACTTTGCAGGGTTTTTTCTCTTCTTCTCGATACACCGCCAACGGTAGAGTGTCGTGTGCACTATCAATAGATGTGGGGAAAGTCTTCTCTATTTATAGAAACCAAGAAGTTAGTTTTTTAGAAGTCAATTTGGGACTTGGGCTCAGTCTGGTTCTCAGATGTTCAAGTTTGACGGGAACGTAAAAATCATAACCAACAAGTCTTGGGCGGAATAGTTTCGCTGTGTCATAGCCGTCTCATCCTCTCTCGTCTGTACATACAAGATGACCTGATTACTTTTTTAAAGTTGACCTAATTACATATTTTACAAAGCTGTGCTGGAAAATTCTCAGAATCTTCCTTTTTGTTTTTTTGTTTTGTTTTGTTTTCTTGGGTGAGGATGTTTTTTCTATGAAAGCCAGAAGTAGTTTGGATGTTGGAAGGAGATTTTTTATTTTTTTAAAAAGTTTAATAGAGACGCAGGAAAAACGGAGCGAAAGACAAGAGTATTATGGAAATATGAAAGAGATGGATAGAGAAATGAGAAAAAGACAAGAGTATGAAAAGATAAAAGAGATGGATAGAGAAATGAGAGAAAGACAAGAGTATGAAAAGATAAAAGAGACGGATAGAGAACTGACAGAAAATACTGTGTGGAAAGAGTGGAGAAATGTGAGATTTGGATTAGTACCAAATGTCATTTTACTGTAAAGGTCACAAGTTTTTGCTACTTTGGAACTAACCATGATGACATTTTGATCTGTCTTTATATGCTGGTCTCGTCCATATGTATATATATATATATGTTCTTCGATGACTCTCGATCTAACATTCTATTTCTGTGTGTGTTTAACATTCAAGTTATGCCGACCACCGCGGCTCCTCGGTCATTTGATTGGCTGCTCCTCGCGCGCGCGGGCGTGTTTGGAGTCAAGGTGGCTTCAGCTCGTATGAATTTATGGAGATTTACGTTGATTCACATCGTACCAGCTTGTTTGATTTTATAATGGGGATTTGTTTTATAAAATGCCTGCTTGTTTCATTTCATGGAGATTCGTTTCATATCCTACCAGTTTGTTTGATTGGTTTCATGGAGATTCGTTTCATATCCTACCAGTTTGTTTGATTGGTTTCATGGAGATTCGTTTCATATCCTACCAGTTTGTTTGATTGGTTTCATGGAGATTCGTTTCATATCCTACCAGTTTGTTTGATTGGTTTCATGGAGATTCGTTTCATATCCTACCAGTTTTTGCACCTGGGCAAAATGTTCCACCTTTCTGTATCGTAGAAATTCTGTCCAGTGCTGTATGATGCAGCTTGTTTTTTTAAAACTGTTTTCATAGTTGTTAAGTTGTTGTTTTTTTATCTATTTCGTTTTTGTTTTAATCTTTGTTTTTGTCTTTGTTTTTGTCTTTGCTTTCATTTTGTTTAACTTCATTAGTTTATTCTTTGTTTTCTCTGTGTATAATTTATGTTTTTGTCTTACCTGAGCAGAGGATTCCAACTGGAGGTTTTCTTCTTTTACGGTCCTCCTTTTAAACATTGTTCCATCTGATTTGCATTTTGTTTGTGTTTGGGGCGTGTGTGACGTGTGGTGACGTACATATTTATCAGGGAATTTGCGGGGAAGCCGACGGCACATATCATAATATAATTTCTAAGCTAGCGGGTTGACGGCAGCCTTTTGACCTTGACTTGTCCAGACTTTCACGCCCGAGTTGGAAAGATTTTGGTAGTCGTTTACTGTACTAGAGATGTCAGCGCTGGAAGGATTTTAATACACGTTTTGGAATTTTAGAAATAATAGTGGTAATAAAGATAACTGTAATGAAAATAAAGATAAAAATAATGATACAGTCGAGCATGGGTAACAAACACGTAGGGGATCTACAAATGTGTTTTCACGGGCCCATAATTTGGGTTAATGGATTTTAAAAACAAGTAAAGAGATAACGGATATCCGTCGCGTCAAGGAATTGCAAATTATACGAGCTATCCGTGATTTTCAGTTCTCCGTGTTCATGTTACCTTTGCCAGACTCTAATAATAATAATAATAATAATAATAATAATAATAATAATACTTATACTAATAATAATGATGATTATGATGATAATGTGAATTTATAAAGCACCTAATCCCTAGAAGGCTGTAAGCGCTGTATAATGCAGTATTATTATCATTGAATAAAGCAGACAAATCTGAGAGCAGAAAATATACCAGTACATTTGGAGATCATGTAACATTTCTTACGTCGTAGCATAATGAGCTAAAAATAAGAAAACTGTTAAGAATTTTCTGAATTTATTTTTTTGTGCCGCGTATTTTTTAAGACTCATTTTTTTTTTTTTTTGTTAAAGATGACAGATATAATATAAAACAAATGTGAAAGAATTCTGTTTGTTTAGAGACGATTAATTAATTCTCTGTTGATTTAAAGTTGTTGTTTGTGTGAACGGACAGGGAATTTTTGTTCATTTTTTTCATCCTCCACCGCCATCGCATTTTTTTATTTAAGTACTTAGAATAGTCGAATAAGATTGTAAAAGAAGAAACACCAACAAATAGTAAAGAAATAATATGAATAATTTCTATCTATGCAAAACATATCATTTTAGTGGAGTCTAGTTATGATTAGTGTTGTTTTGGTTGTTGTTGTTTTTTTCCTTTCTTATGCATTTTTCACCACTTGGTTTGATTTTCTTTGATGATGTGATTTTGTAGCCAGTTCTTGTAATGGAATACCGAAGGAGGTTATTGATGGTGTGTTGTGATACTGTGCTGAGTGTGTGTTGTGTGTGTGTTGTGTGTGTGTTCCCTCAGTTGTAGTGTGTTGTATGTGTGTCTTGTGTGGTCGTGTGGTGTGTGAAATGTGTGTGTGTGTGTGTGTGTGTGTGTGTGTGTGTGTGTGTGTGTGTGTGTGTGTGGAGAGGGAAACAGAGAGAGACAAAGAGAGAGGAAGGGGAAACTTAGATATGAGTGGTTGGGTGTGTGTCTCTTCGTGTTGAGAGAGACATTGAAAGAGAGAGAGAGAGAGAGGAGAGATAGAAAAAAAAGCGAAAAGAAAGAGAGGAGAGATAGAAAGACGAAGAAAGAGAGAGAGACACACCTGTATTTCCTCTAGCTGTGGAGATTACCTTGGGACCGTGAAGGCCTGCGAGGATCCTGTTATGTCTGTGTGTGTTATATACATGTATAATGATATGTTATATTGGTATATATATTATACATATATTATACTTTCTGTTTTGGAGTGGAACATGCTTTGTGGAGATAATTCAACAGATTTGTCTTTTTAAAAAAGAAGAGAAAGAGAGAGAGAAAGAGAGCGAGAAAGAGGGGGGGGGGGGGTGTGAGGAGAGTGAGTGAGGGAGAGACAGAAAGAGAGAGGAGGGGGAGTGAAAGGAGGAATCGAGGAGAAGGAAGCTAGTGAGGGAGTGTGTGTGTGTGTTTGTGTGTGTGAGTGTGAGTGAGAGAAAGAGATTGAGAGCGAGAGAGAAAGAGGGATGGAAAAGAAACGTTTGTGTGAATGTGCTAATGTAGAATTTCTTTTCATTTATCCAGTCAACAAAACACTGTTCACCAAGGTATTCTGTTCACCACCTGGTTCCATTACAGTTGTGATTGCGTTCACCACCTGGTTCCATTACAGTTGTGATTGCGTTCACCACCTGGTTCCATTACAGTTGTGATTGCGTTCACCACCTGGTTCCATTACAGTTGTGATTGCGTTCACCACGGGTTCCTTTTCAACATAATAATTATGTCCACCGTGTGATTCCGTTCACCGCTAAATTCCATTACAGCATAATTATGTTCCCCATGGGATTCAATTACAATATAGGCCCACTTATGATCACCAAGGGATTCTGTTACCACATAATAATGTTCACCAAGGGATTCTGTTTTTTTTAAAAGGGACATGTCTCTTTCTTCCCGCGACTCCCAAAAGGGTATAAGGGGCGGATAAAAGACAAGTTAAGTAAGGGATTCTGTTACCACAAAGTTTCATCTGTTCTGGGTAGAGGGATGCTGTATGAACACCAAAAGTTTCCAAATGCTGTCCTAGTCCTGTTGCTTTGTGGGAGTCAGTTCTTCAAGGTGAACATTTTTAGGTGAACTCTGACTTCTTCAAGGTGAACTTTGTGAGGGGAACACTGACTTCTTCAAGGTGAACATTTTTAGGTGAACACTGACTTCTTCAAGGTGAACTTTTTTAGGTGAACACTGACTTCTTCAAGGTGAACTTTGTGAGGTGAACACTGACTTCTTCAAGGTGAACTTTGTGAGGTGAACACTGACTTCTTCAAGGTGAACTTTGTGAGGTGAACACTGACTTCTTCAAGATGAACATTTTTAGGTGAGCACTGACTTCTTCAAGGCGCACTTTTGAGGTGAACACTTCAAGGTGATTTTTAAACTTTAAAATCTGAACGGTTGAACCAAGGTGAACGGTTGAACCAAGGTGAACCGGTGAACCATTGAACCAAGGTGAACCATTGAACCAAGGTGAACCGTTGAACCAAGGTGAACAGTTGAACCAAGGTGAACAGTTGAACCAATGTGAACAGTTGAGCGTCCGTGGTGAGGTGTCGGATGTTTTGTTGGCTGGGTGAGTGCGGAGTGTAATTATAGCAATACCTAAATAGTCGTTTGTCTGTGTGGTGATGTACTGTTGCTATGACAACACTGTTCCATTGAACTTTGAGATGAAAAAACAATTAATGAAACAAATTAAAATGTATATAATGAACCCTCTTTGCGTTGGCGTTTCTATGTCTGTTGTTGTTAATAATAATAATGATGATGATGGGGATAATAATAATAATAA